GAGTTTGAGAAGAATTGGAGTTAATTCTTCTTTAAGTGTCCGATAGAATTTACTTGTGAAGCCATCAAGTCTTTGTCTCTTCTTTATTAGGAGGTTTTGGATTACTGATTGAACTATCCTACTCATAATTGGTCTCTTCAGATTTTCTCTTTCTTCATGATTCAGGCTTGGTAGTGTATGTTTCTAGGAATTTATCCATTTTTTCCTAGTTTATCCAATTTGTTGGCATATAATTATTCATAGTAGTCGCTTATGATTCTTTGTTTGTGTTGTTGTTGTTGTTTTAGAGATGAAGTCTCCCTCTGTTGCCCAGGCTAGAGTATAGTGGCATGATCATAACTCACTCCAGTTTTGAACTCCTGGGCTCAGGCAATCTTCCTGCCTCAGCCTCTCAAGTAACTGGGGCTATAGTCGTGCACTACTCTGCCGAGCTAATCCTGACTGTTTTATGGTGTCTTTGTTCCTAGCTCACTCTTTCTTTCTGATTTGATTTTTTTATGGTGGTATGATTTGATGTTTCTTTGTCTTCAGTGTATCTACTAGAGAGTTTTTCTTTCTGGTTACCATAAGGCTTACATAAAACATCTCATAGTTATAACAGTCTATTGTAAGTTAATAATACCTTAACTTTAGGCTGGGTGTGGTGGCTCACACCTGTATTCCCAGCACTTTGGGAGGCTGAGGTGGAAGGATCGCTTGAGCCCAGAAATTTGAGACCAGCCTGGGAAACATAGCGAGACCCTGTCTCCACCAAAATGTTTAAGGATCACTTGAGGTCAGGAGTTTGAAACCAGTCTGGCCACCATGATGAAACTTTGTCTCTACTAAAAATACAAAAAATTAGCCAGATGTGGTGGCAGGCGCCTGTAATCCCAGCTACTTGGGAGGCTGAGGCAGGAGAATTGCTTGAACCTGGGAGGCAGAGGTTGCAGCAAACCGAGATTGCGCCACTGCACTCAGCCTGGGAGACAGAGCAAGAGTCTGTCTCAAAAAAAAGTTAACCAGGTGTGGTGGTACACATCTAGTTCCAGCTACTCAGGAGGTTGAGGTAGGAGGATCTCTTGAGCCCAGGAGGTTGAGGCTACAGTGAGGACTCTGGCCTGGGCTACAGAGCAAGACCCTGTTTCTCAATAATAATAATAATAGTAATAATAATAATAATAGCTTAACTTTGACCACATACAAAAAGTCTGCACTTTTCCAGCCACATTACGTTATTGATGTTACAATGTACGTCTTTTATATATTGTGCATCTATTAGCAAATGATTGTAGGTTTATTTTTAATACCTTTGTCTTTTAACTTTTTTTTTTTTTTTTTTTTTTTTGAGACAGAGTCTTTCTCTGTCACCCAGGCTGGAGTGCAGTGGCACGATTTCAGCTCACTGCAACTCTACCTCCCAAGTTCAAGCAATTCTCCTGCCTCAGCCTCCTGAGTAACTGGGATTACAGGCACACGCTACCTACCCAGCTAATTTTTATATTTTTAGTAGAGACGGGATTTCACCATATTGATCAGGCTGGTCTCGAACTCCTGACCTCGTGATCTGCCCACTCCAGCCTCCCAAAGTGCTAGGATTACAGGTGTGAGCCACTGTGCCCAACCTTATCTATTAACTTTTATACTAGAGTTAAAAGTGATTTATGCACTATTATTACATTATCAGAGTATTCTGAATATAACTATATTCATACCTTTACAATGAGTTTTATATTTTTATATTGTTAGTGTCCTTTTCTTTCTACTTGAAGAACTCTTTTTGGTGTTTCTTATAAGTTAAATCTAGTGTTGATATCCTCTCACGTCTTTTGTTTGGGATTCAGTGATCAGATTAAATGCCTTACAGCTATCAGAGAAAGATTGTATGATGTACGGTTTTTTTTTTTTTTTTTTTTGTTTTTTTTTGAGGCGGAGTCTCACTCTGTCGCCCAGGCTGGAGTGCAGTGGCACGATCTTGGCTCACTGCAAGCTTCACCTCCCAGGTTCACGCCATTCTCCTGCCTCAGCCTCCCGAGTAGCTGGGACTACAGGCGCCCACCACCTTGCCTGGCTAATTTTTTGTATTTTTAGTAGAGACGGGATTTCACCGTGTTGGCCAGGATGGTCTCGATCTCCTGACCTCGTGATCCGCCCGCCTTGGCCTCCCAAAGTGCTGGGATTACAGGCGTGAGCCACCACGCCCGGCATGATGTACGTTTTTACCATATCATCTAGTATGATTTCAAACTATCTTCCTTACATAATTCAGAACATTATTCCACAAAAATATTGAGTACCTATTAGTGTCATACACTTGATGATTTTACAGATGATAAAAACAGTGTTCATTGAGGTTTCATAATTTGTCTATGGCCTCTCAGCTAGTTAAAAAGTCCAGAATTCAGACCTCTTTTACAACCCTAAAGCCTTCAGTTTTCTCAACCACCTTGCTATACTCATTTTTTCTTTTCATCATATCTCATTTCGTAGTCATTTCTTTCTCTATGGGTAAGTGATAAGAATACTAGCTGAGATCCTGTCCCTCTGTAACCAGACCAAGCTATTTCTTTTAAAAATATATTTGTATTACATGTATATTATAATAGTTTACAAAGCTGTACCTTCCTTACCCCTCCATTTCCTTGTCTAAGAGTCAGTGACTTTCAAGTCTTCTAGCTATTCTCCCTGACTTTATTTTTTTTAGGAATCAAGGGGTCGGGCCTAATGTCCCCACTTTTGTATGGAAATTCTTTTTTTGTGTGTTGTCTGTTTGTTTGTTTGTTTGAGATAGAGTCTCACTCTGTTCCCTAGGCTGGAGTGCAGTGGCGTGATCTTGGCTCACTGCAACCTCTGCCTCCTGGGTTCAAGCAATTCTCCTGCCTCAGCCTCCTGAGTAGCTGGGATTACAGGCACGCGCTACCACACCTGGCTAATTTTTGTATTTTTAGTAGAGATGGGATTTCACCATTTTGGTCAGGCTGGTCTCAAACTCCTGACCTCGTGATCCACCTGCCTTGGCCTCCCAAAGTGCTGGGATTACAGGCATAAGCCACTGTGCCTGGCGGAAATTCTTCCGTGGTATTTACAAACATTAATCCCAATCCTCACAACAGCTGTAAGGGCTATCATTCCTATTGTATTAGACAGAGAACTGGAGGTTTGGAAAGTGGAACTAATTTGCCCAAGAAAACAAAGCTTATAATTATTCAAGTTTGAGTATAAAACGCATGTAACTGAATCTAGTATCTCTGATCTGTCAGTACCATACAATGCCTTCCATTTTACTCTCTCTCCTTTCCTTGAACCTACAAATGTCTTTTCTGCCAGTCAGTCATCACTACTATAGTGCTCGTGTACTTGTTAAGTCCCCTCTTCTCTTTAACAAAGGCCAGCATCTCAGAATTACAAGACAAACACTATTTTCATCCAACCCCAAACATATATCATATCTGTGCACACATGAGTCCTACCTACCACTCATACTATGTTCATTCCACACTTGACTTTTCTTAAGCTAGGCTTTTTTCTGGATGGCTACCCTCTAGTTCCTTATCATTTTTTAAAGAGCTCTGGACCTCCAGTTACAGAATCCAGACCAGGGCTATCCAAGAGAACATTCAGTGGTATTGGAAATGTTTTATATTTGTGATGTTTAGTACCGACTTCCAGTACAAAAGCTACCAGCCAAGTTTGGCTGTTGAACATTGGAAATGTGAATAGTGTGACTGAGAAACTGAATTTTCAAATTCGGCTGTTTATTTCAAAATAAAATGCACACTTCATTTATATTATTTGAAAAATTTTTTTATTATTATACTTTAAGTTCTAGGGTACATGTGCATAATGTGCAGGTTTGTTACATATGTATACTTGTGATATGTTGGTGTGCTGCACCCATCGACTCGTCAGCACCCATCAACTCATCATTTACATCAGGTATAACTCCCAATGCAATCCCTCCCTCCTCCCCCCTCCCCATGGTAGGCCCGGGTGTGTGATGTTCCCCTTCCCAAGTCCAAGTGATCTCATTGTTAATTATTTGAAATTTTAAATACGACATGTAGCTAGTAGCTACCGTGTTAGACAATGTGTATCTAACCAGGGGCTGGCAAACTTTTTCTTGAAAGGCAAATAGTAAGTATTTTAGGTTTGCAGTTCACACATTCTGTGTCATAACTACTCACTTCTGCCCTTTTAGCGCAAAAGCATCCATAGACAATACGTAACAAGTATGGCTAATAAAACTTCATTTATAAAAATCGGTGCGGGGCCATAGGCCATAGTTTACTGATCCCTGGGAATTTTCCATTAGGCGTATTCATTTCATCCTGACAATAGCCCTGTTAACAGTGTGATTGATTATTTATTTATTTATTGAGACAGAGAGTCACTCTGTCGCCCAGGCTGGAGTGCAGTGGCGCAATCTTGGCTCACTGCAACCTCTGCCTCCCGGGTTCAAGCAATTCTCGTGCCTTAGCCTCCCCAGTAACTGGGATTACAGGCGCATGCCACCAGGCCCAGCCAATTTTTATATTTTTAGTAGAGACAGGTTTCACCATGTTGGCCAGGCTGATCTCAAACTCCTGACCTCAAGTGTTCTGCCTGCCTCACCCACCCAAGGTGCTGAGATTACAGGTGTAAGCCACCATGCCTGGCCATTTCCCTTATTTTACAATTAATACTGTGGGATCCTATTATATGTCCCATGTGTGTATATGCAATGAGACATTTTGTGTGTGTATGATTAGAGTCATCCTTTAACAAGAGAGACAGGACTAAGGCATGTGTGTATTTAGCAAGCTTCCCAAAGTAATCCTGATCTATAGCAATGTTTGGGAAGCAGTGACTTATTTTGTTTTCCTAATCACTACCCTCATCTTATTATGTAACCTGTCTTCTAACTCTCTTTTTTCCTCATTCATTTGTAAAAAAAAATCAGTGAAATTCTCCCATATTGATTGAAGTTTCATTTCTCCCAAATAAGAAAAACATGAGTGAATTACTTTCATATTTTCTTTCAGTCCTGGAATCAAGATGTGAGACCAAGAAATTATTTCTGAAGAAAGAAATTTATGAAATAGAATCAACCCAGTGGGAAATAATGGAAAAACTCACAAGACATGATTTTCAGTGCTCTAGTTTCAGAGATGATTGGGATTGTAATATCCAGTTTGAGAAACAGCTCGGCTCTCAGGGGGGACATTTCAGTCAATTGGTATTCACTCATGAAGATCTGCCCACTTTGAGTCAGCATCCATCCTTTACATTACAGCAAATCATTAATAGTAAAAAGAAATTCTGTGCATCTAAAGAATATAGGAAAACCTTTAGACATGGCTCACAATTTGCTACACATGAGATAATTCATACCATTGAGAAGCCCTATGAATGTAAGGAATGTGGAAAGTCCTTTAGACATCCCTCAAGACTCGCTCATCATCAGAAAATTCATACTGGCAAGAAACCCTTTGAATGTAAGGAATGTGGAAAAACCTTTATTTGTGGCTCAGACCTTACGCGACATCACAGAATTCACACTGGTGAGAAACCCTATGAATGTAAGGAATGTGGGAAGGCCTTTAGTAGTGGTTCCAACTTCACTCGACATCAGAGAATTCACACGGGTGAGAAGCCTTATGAATGCAAAGAATGCGGGAAGGCCTTTAGTAGTGGCTCAAACTTTACTCAACATCAGAGAATTCATACTGGGGAAAAACCGTATGAATGTAAGGAATGTGGCAATGCCTTTAGTCAGAGCTCACAACTTATTAAACATCAAAGAATCCATACAGGTGAGAAACCTTATGAATGTAAGGAATGTGAAAAGGCTTTTCGTTCTGGCTCAGACCTTACTAGACATCAGAGAATTCATACTGGTGAGAAACCCTATGAATGTAAGATATGTGGGAAGGCTTATTCTCAGAGTTCACAGCTTATTAGTCATCATAGAATTCATACTAGTGAGAAACCCTATGAATATAGGGAATGTGGAAAGAACTTTAATTATAACCCACAACTTATTCAGCATCAAAATTTGTACTGGTGATGAGCCAGAATATATGAAATGTGTAGAGAGGCTTTTAATTATGGCTCAAAACAGAATTTATCTTGTTAATAATTTCCCTAGATGGAATAATGTAGAAACATTGTATTTGTGGACTATAGCTTATTCAGCCTGGAAAAAATAATGTTGGAGAAACACCCTATGATAGAATATATTTTGAAAACCTTAACCAAATGCTCACTTCTCTTGACATCAGATAATTCAGTCTGTCGTACTGAAAATGACAGCACTTTTAACACCTTTCTAACCCTCTTAAACATCAGAGAATTTTTGTAGAAATGTAGTCCTGTGGTTTTCATTTTTTCCTGTAATTTGTCTAACTTACATTCTTAAAAATACTTTTAGTATCTGGGAGAAGTGACCTCTTTATTTTTGAAGATGGCTTATTCTTTTCATTCTTTATAACATTAAGGCTTTCTTGGCCGGGCGCGGTGGCTCAAGCCTGTAATCCCAGCACTTTGGGAGGCCGAGATGGGCGGATCACGAGGTCAGGGGTTCGAGACCATCCTGGCTAATACGGTGAAACCCCGTCTCTACTAAAAAATACAAAAAACTAGCTGGGCGAGGTGGCGGGCGCCTGTAGTCCCGGCTACTCGGGAGGCTGAGGCAGGAGAATGGCGTAAAAACCCGGGAGGCAGAGCTTGCAGTGAGCTGAGATCCGGCCACTGCACTCCAGCCTGGGCGACACAGCGAGACTCCGTCTCAAAAAAAAAAAAAGGCTTTCTTACTGTAAAAATGTTCATGAACAACATTTTACTTAATAGAGATCCTTCAATATCTTCATGGTGTTTCATTGTGTTACTGTAATATCGCTTATGAAATCCTATTGGTGGATATCATGGTCTCCTCTAGATATTTTGCCATAATACATGCCAAAATACAAGTCCCTGATGGACATTCTCCCTAAGCACATATTCGTATCATATCTTTTAACTGCAGAAATAATGTGTGAATATATTTTCCTTATAAAAGATGCAAGCATTACAAAAAGGCAAATGTACCCTTTGACCATTGTCTTGTGTCCATTCCCTTCCCAAAGTATAGTCTTTATCAGTTTATTGTTTATTGCTGATCATTTTTCTGTTTATATATACATGCGTGTCTCAGTAAAAATTAGAAAATGGGGGATAATTATAATACCTACCTCATAATGCTTTGTGAGGGTTAAATTAAGACCCATAAAGTGCTTAGCATTGTGCCTGACATGATAAATGCATACTCACTGAATGTTAGTCATCATTATTATATTCATCGTCATCAGTATTATTATTTGTAGAAAGGCTTTTTAACTTCTGCAGAACTTAGTCACCATTAGGCAGGGTAATTGACTGAAGAAAGACCCTTTTTGAAGGTAACAAGTTAAGAAAATTTCCCATCATCATGTACTTCCTATTGAACATGGAATAATCCTAGCTATTGGTGGGGAAAGTACTGTGAATAATGTGTGTGAAGGACTTTATTCCAGAATACTCTTTTTGCCACATTATATACCCAGTATAAAAGAAAAGAGAACATAAACAAAATATTGGTGCACTGAGGAAAAAAAGTATGAAAAGAGAAATAGCATCATATTTAAAAAATGGACAGAGATAGAAACATAGTTACAGATTTAAAAGGTTATGTTAAATATAATGCTTTTTTCTGATATGTTTGAAAATTTAAACAAAATGATTTTTAAGGCAAGTATACATCAATATTGACTCCAAGAAAATTAGGACTCTTAGAAGACTCTCATAAACACAGAGAATGGGAAAAATGAGTATGTGATCAATTAACTATTACTAATGAAGCACGAAATCCAGTTTCTTTCTAAGGAAAACTTTATCAAATGTTCAAGGAACTATTTCAGTTATATAGAAGTACATGTCTTGGCTCATGCCTGTAATCCCAACACTTTGGGAGGCTTAGGTGTTAGGATTATTTGAGGCCAGGAGTTTGAGACCATCCTGGCCAACATGTTGAAACCCCATTTTTAGTAAAAAATACAAAACTTAGCCAGGTGTGGTGGCACATGCCTGTAATCCCAGCTACTGGGGAGGCTGAGGCAGGAGAATCACTTGAACGCAGGAGGCAGAGGTTGCAGTGAGCCAAGATCACGCCACCGCACTTCAGCCTGAGACAGATTGAGACTGTGTCTCAAAAAAAAAAAATGTCCACAGTGTAGCTTTGTTTGGGGTTAAGTTAGTGTTTTGAAATGGGCCTTCCCTGTGCTCAAAGCATGCTTAGCAAGCAGCTCCCCACACTGGACAGATCGCATGTGTGGAAGGATGAAGTTTATGTCTGTAGAACTGTCATTTTATGCCCCACTTCCTTTTTTCTTAGATCCTGTGTAGACGGGTCTCTCTGAACGTTGTGTTACTTTACTGGCATAAGGAAGTAAAATATTTCATAATAAATTTGAGAAAGGTAGAGTGAGTAAAAATATCTGCAAATGAGAGAATTACTAAAAATGGACTGTTGTAATATTTTGCATTATCAAAATGAGAATTGCCCAATGAAATTTTTTTTACTTTCTTTTCTTGTGTGCTTATAAGTCTTTAAAGTTCCTCATCTAAAATTAGAGATAGTGCATTTGCACCCAAATTAATGAAGCAATACCATTAAAGAAAAAGAAAAGGGACTGGGTGCGGTGGCTCACGCCTGTAATCCCAGCACTTTGAGAAGCCAAGACAGGTGGATCACGAGGTCAAGAGTTCAAGACCAGCTTGGCCAATATGGTGAAACCCCATCTCTACTAAAAATACAAAAATTAGCTGGGCGTGGTGGTACATGCCTGTAGTCCCAGCTGCTCGGGAGGCTGATGCAGGAGAATTGCTTGAACCCGGGAGGCGGAGGATGCAGTGAGCCGAGATCCTGACTGCACTCCAGCCTGGGCAACAGAGTCTCAAAAAAATCTGTCTCAAAAAAAAAAAAAAAGAAAAAATGATTATCTTTGCTCTTCTCCATTCCTCATTCCCTTCCCTCTGTCCATTTTCTTCTGAATAATGTTTAAAGGTTGTGTATATTACCCATATATATCTTCATGCTAAAACATTAACACACAGTTATTTATTTTATTATGTTTTTACAGAAAAATGGATAACTATACATTTCCCTGAAATTTGCTTTTTTACATTCAGCTGTACATCTTGGATTTTCCTTCAATAGATGATGATCTAACAGTCTTTCTGATGGTTGCAGTATGTTCCACAGTATTCTTTACCAATGCCTTTTCAACCACTTTCCCAATTGTGATATTATGGACTGTTTGCGCTTTTTTGCCATCTAAAAGTAATGCTGCAATAAACACTTTTGTATTCTCTGTTTTATTTCTGTAAAATAAGCTCCCCAAGTCATTTCCAGTGTATTTGTTTTGTTTTGTTTTGACACAGAGTTTCACTCTTAATTGGCTAGGCTGGAGTGCAATGGCACGATATTGGCTTACCGCAACCTCTGCCTCCCAGGTTCAAGCGATTCTCCTGCCTCAGCCTCCCAAGTAGCTGGGGTTACAGGCATGCGCCACCACACCTGGATAATTTTGTATTTTTAGTAGAGACGGGGTTTCTCCATGTTGGTCAGGCTGGTCTCGAACTCCCGACCTCAGGTGATCCACCCCTCGTTCTCCCAAAGTGCTGGCATGATAGCCGTGAGCCACCATGCCCAGCATCATTTCCAGTGTTTTCTATGTTTCCTAGGAAGGTTTTGCTTCTAGAGGATTTCAGAGGGCAAGAGAATAAAGGTACAGAGTGCAGTTTTTCACATGTGATTCTGAGTGTGTATACACAGATTTAATCTTTTAATACATCAGGAACTGATTATACAATATAATGCAGGCTGTCAGACTTGTTTCTATCCAGGAATAAAACCAATTATGCCAGAAGTAACTATTATTCACCTTTCTCCTACTGAATTAAAATACTATCAGTTGTATATTAAGTGCTATACATCTATTTCTGTTCTCCATATTCTAGCAATCCTTGACACTTTTCAGTAGCTTTTATTACTTTGAAATAAAGATGTATGTATATATTATTAATATATAGTTTATTATTTGCAAATAAAGACATGTTTCTTCATGAGAATTTTTGACTTACTCATTTTCCAATGAAAAACACATTAGGATTATATTTTGAATTTCTTCAGTTTTAAATACAGAGTATCCTAAATGAATAAACGATTGACGCTGAGTGGATATTCATTAACACATCTTGAGGTTTCTTTTATAACTCCTTATCCTCCTGACCCTCTAATATCTAATAATAACACTATCTACTGTAATGTCTCACAAAACTTAAAATATGCTAGTAATATTTGAAAATTTATTAGGGTTCTGCTTATAAGGTGATAGATTCTTTTGGGCTCTATAGTTACATAATCTGCAGATAAAGGTGACGTACCTATCACAATATTTTTTATATCTATCTTATTTTATTTTATTTTTATTTTGAGACGGAGTCTCCCTCTGTCACCTGGGCTGGAATACAATGGTGCAATCTCGGCTCACCACGACCTCCGCCTCCCAGGTTCAAGTGATTCTCCTGCCTCAGCCTCCCAAGTAGCTGGGATTACAGGCATGTGCCACCATGCCCGGCTAATTTTATATTTTTAGTAGAGATGGGGTTTCTCCATGTTGGTCAGGCTGGTCCGGAACTCCCAACCTCAGGTGATCCGCCTGCCTTGGCCTCCCAAAATGCTGGGATTACAGGTGTGAGCCACCACGCGCGGCCCAATAATAGAAACTTTAAGACAAAATGCATTATGAGACATGTCTTGCTTCAAGATCCTATAATGATCGTGTCTGAGGTAGTTACCTTGCAAGGGTGTTACTGTTTTTCTTGCTCCCCCTGTAACATCCAGACCATAAAATGTAATAAAAACCTCAGCATTCTCTCAATGACCAATTATGAAATCAAAACTACATATCAAAAATATTGCCAGATTTTGAAACTTTATCTAAAAATAATGTAGCGAATAGATGAAGGAGCACCTTCACCAGAGACACAACAGTGATTCCAATAAAATGGAAAGTGAGAATATAATCCAGCTATTTGGTGCTCCTTGTGACCATAGGCAACAGACCAAAGTTTGGGGTGGGAGAGGTAAGGGGGAGTAGGTTGGTGTTTGCTGGGCTGATTGATCCTGGCTCTCAAGCGAGAAATAGGTTTGAACCTTCTAAATGTAACATGGATAGAATGCAAAGATTCCCCTGGGTCAACTCCTACCTCTACCTTTTACAATAGTAAAAGTTAATAGAAAACTATAGTAACTAACAATAATTCAGATCCTATGAAAGAAGATTTGAGTCACTTTAAAAACTTCCAATCACAGCTGGGTGTGGTGGCTGGCTCATGCCTGTAGTCCCAGCTTTTGGGAGGCCAAGGCAAGAGGATCACAAGCCCAGGAGTTCAAGACCAGCCTGGGCAACATAGTGACACATTGGTGATACAAAAAATAAAAAAAAAATTAACTGGACATTGCAGCACGTGCCTGTGGTGCCAGCCATTCGCAGGGACTGAGGTAGGAGGATGGCTTGAGCCCAAGACATCAAGGCTGCAGTGACCCATGATGGTGCCACTGCACTCCAGCCTGGGCAACAGAGCTAAAAGCCTGTCTGAAAAACTTAAAAAAAAAAAAAAGAGAGAGAGAAGAGAGAGAGAGAGACAAAGGAAAGAAGGAAGGAAGGAAGGAAGGAAAGAGAGAAAGAAAAGAAAGAAAGGCAGGCCAGGCGCGGTGGCTCACGCCTGTAATCCCAGCACTTTGGGAGGCTGAGGCAGGAGGATCACAGGTCAGCAGTTCGAGACCAGCCTGGCCAACATGGCGAAACCCCATCTCTACTAAAAATACAAAAATTAGCCAGGCGTGGTGGTGGGCATCTGTAATCCCAGTACTTGGGAGGCTGAAGCAGGAGAATCGCTTGAAACCAGAAAGCGGAGGTTGCAGTGAGCCGAGATGTGCCACTGCACTCCAGCCTGGGCAAAAAAGCAAAACTCCATCTCAAAAAAAAAAAAAAAAAGAAAGAAATTGTCCTCATTTTTCAGTTAATGAGGTTGCTCCAAACAAAAGAAATTTTCCCATTTTTACCTTCAGTTTCTCTTAAGCATTTGTTGTGTTTATTCTTTGTGGTGGTCCTTTTAGTTTAGTTTTCATTTCTGAAATGATTCTTTTATTTTGAATTATTTTCTGAATTATTACCTCATTTCCCACATTTTCTGATTCTACTTGATTTTATTCTTTCATATCTTGTATCATTTTGTTAATGAAATTTTAGCTCAATTTGAAATAGCAAGTTCCAGCTCTGATCTCCTGTGGGCATGGCTTTTGGATATGCTTTTATTGTCTGGAGGAATGTTATTGTGTTCCTTATTCTCTCTCTCTCTTTTAAATTGTAACTCTTAGAGAATTCATGCTTGATACTTTTCTGTTGCTTTGTAAAATTATTTATTTATTTATTTATTTATTTATTTATTTATTTATTTATTTGCTTGTTTGTTTATTGAGATGGAGTCTCGCTCTGTCGCCCAGGCTGGAGTGCAGTGGCACGATCTTGGCTTACTGCAACCTCCGCCTCCCGGGTTCAAGCCATTCTTCTGCCTCAGCCTCCCAAGTAGCTGGGACTACAGGTGTGCACCACCATACCTGGCTAATTTAGTAGAGACGGGGTTTCACCATGTTGGCCAGGCTGCTCGAACTCCAGACCTCATGATCCGCCCACCTCTGTCTCCCAAAGTGCTGGGATTCCATTTAATTTTATTGTTTAAGACAGAGTCTCGCTCTGTCACCCAGGCTAGAGTGCAGTGGTGGGAGCTCAGCTCATTGCAACCTCCACTTCTCAGGCTCAAATGATCCTCCTGCCTCAGCCTTCCTCTTTTTTTTTTTTTTTTTTTTTTTTTTTTTTTGAGACGGAGTCTTGCTCTGTCACCCAGGCTGGAGTGCAGTGGCGCAATCTCAGCTCACTGCAACCTCCGCCTCCCTGGTTCACACCATTCTCCTGCCTCAGCCTCCCGAGTAGCTGGGACTACAGGCGTCCACTACCACGCCCGGCTAATTTTTTTGTATTTTTAGTAGAGACAGGGTTTCATTGTGTTAGCCAGGATGGTCTTGATCTCCTGACCTCATGATCCGCCCGCCTCAGCCTCCCAAAGTGCTGGGATTACAGGCGTGAGCCACTGCGCCCGGCTTCAGCCTTCCAAGTAGCTGGGATTTAGTGTGCCAACATGCCCATCTAATTTTTTTTGTATTTGTAGTAGAAACGGTGTGTCACCATGTTGGCCAGGCTGGTCTTGAACTCCTGACCTCAAATGATCCACCCGCCTCAGCCTCCCAAAGTGCTGGTGTTACAGGCGTGAGCCACCGTGCCCCGCCGGTGTTGCTTATTTATTTATTTATTTAGAAATGGAAAGGAATTTTGGCTGTCGGTTTAAGAGTTGTCACAGAGAAGAGTTCACTGGCCCCTTCAGGTCTTCCCTCGTGGACCACTTGCATTCCCCTCCTGTTGATGTGGGCAAAGCCTCAACCCCTCTCTGCTTGCTGCTCTCAGCGTGGCCCTCTGTTTTCCGTTTTGTTTTTTCAAGACGGAGTCTTGCTCTGTCATCCAGGTTGGAGTGCAGAGGCACAATCTTGGCTCACTGCAACCTCCATCTCCCGGGTTCAAGCGATTCTCCTGCCTCAGCCTCTCATGTAGCTGGGATTACAGGTGCCTGCCACCATGCCCAGCTAATTTTGTATTTTTAGTAGCAATGGGGTTTCGCCACATTGGCCAGGCTGGTCTTGAACTCCTGACCTCATGATCCACCTGCCTCGGCCTCCCAAAGTGCTGGGATTACAGGCATGAGCCACCATGCCCAACCCCTTCTGTGTTTTAATACTCGTTTTGAGGCTCTTCCGTTTTCAGATGATTTCAGATGCCCCATCACTTCCCTCGGCTGCCTCCTTCACAGATGCTCAGGTCCACTATTGCAGGTATTGTGATGTTTATGATTGTTCTGATCTGCTTATATCTGGGGGCTCATGGGGACATTTCCTGTATTAGTTTGCTGGTACTGCTATAACAGATCACCACAGCTGGGTAGCTTACACATAACTTTATTTTCTCACAGCTCTAGAGGCTTTTTGTCACAGATCAAGGTGTTGGCAGGTCTGGTTTATCCTAAGGCCTCTCTCCTTGGCTTGCAGACAACTGCCTTCTTGCTGGATTTTCACACGGCATTTCCGCTGCATGTGCACATCCCTCATGTGCCTCAGCATATACAAATTTCCTTTTTTAAAATAAGGACACCAGGCTGGGCGTGGTGGCTCACACCTGTAATCCCAGCACTTTGGGAGGCTGAGG